AGAGCAGCGTTGGGTACGAAATGGGAGCTCAGTAACATGTGCTGACCGAATGACCAGGCAAGAGTACCACCTCTCCCTCTCTTTATTAACATACTCATGTGTCTCTGGACTGAGTTAAAACCTTTTGCATACTATTGTTTAATGTTTAGTCTGTGTAGCTATACGAGGACAGTGAGGAAATGGGTTATTGGGGTAAAATCATTTCCCTCTGGTTAGGAGCTGGTAGTAGTAGAGCCAGGGCTAAAAGCCGGGTCTGTTGGACTCCGAGAACTGTACCCTTGTAGTACAAAAGCTTAAGACCGGGGAGGTTCCCCCCCACACACACTTTTGGTACATGCACCATTACCGCGTCCTACATTTTAAAAATTTGGTTTATTTTGAAATATAAGGAAGTGGAAGCATTTTTCTAATCCATTATTATTAGTGAACACTAATAGGTTTTCCATTTCCCTAGCCTTTAATTTGAGTGCTAGAACTGGATTAATATATATAACTACAAATGTGCCTGAAATGTAGGCTTAACATTTTCCACTTTGATATGATGAGAAGGAAATAGAGAATACTCTGCATTATTTGATCTATATTGGGAAGCCCAACCATTAGGCAATGTATTTTTTAAATTACCTTAATTTCTTGTGTCTCCGATTAATTTGGAAAAAGCAGCAGGTTGTAAGTGATGTGTGTGTGGGTGCTCATCTCTATTATTGTGTTTGAAAATAAAAGTGGATTTTTATTTTCTAGTCTTTATTGTTGCTCGCTTCTCCCTCATGCCCACACAGTTACCAAAAATCTAATAATTTTCTAATGGCGTCATTATCTCTATAGCAGCTGGTTTCGATAAAGAATTCTGAAAGTCCAGTAGGTCAGAAGCAGCAGTAGATGAATTTAGAAGAAACAGAAATCTAGTGCATGTTCTTTTCTTTCTTTTTAGGTATGAGATGTGGAAGTGATTTTTGAACTGCAGTCACACGTCATGAGAGTATTTCTCTAACATTCAGAATTGCTCTGTGGATTTCCTGAGCCTTGAAAATACCGTACTTATCTGTTAGGGTTTTCGAAAGTTTGGGCCGGGGCACCGAGAGCGCTGCTGAGCCCGCTGCTGCCCGGGATGGGCACTGTTAGTTAGGGCTGCACCTCTGTCTGCCGCCGCCGCCTCTTCCCACTCACCTTGTCCTTGTTCTTGGTCTCTCTTCACCTCTGTTCTCTGTCTGGTTCATCTCTTCTGTGGAGCCCTTCTCAGTCTTAGAACTCCAGTGAGAAACTGATGGGGTAGATTTTACATTTGATCACCACCCTGTGATGATTACTAGGGTCGTGGTCGGAATTCTGAGGTTGTACAGACATTTTTTGTTTTCTGAAAGACATGGTGTGTTCCACCAGTAAAAGTGTTTTGTGGGTCACTGCGTCAAAAATTTTAAATCTGTCTCTGGTGCCTTAGTTGTAGAATTCAAAAGAAAGAAAGAAAACCTCTCTGATGAAGTTATTTGATGCCAGTTTAAAAGGCTTCCGTTTAGAACAGGTTTCAACTATCTGAATAACGTAGGAATTGCTTGTGGCACTGTTTGGTTTGGCGAGTCCTATAAGGAACCCTGTAATATATAAAGATGGCACTGCATGCACCCATTCTTAATGAGATTAAGTTACAATGGAAATATTTCCATTCTTAACTCCTACCCCAAACCTGTTTTCTTTTCCAGTTCCCTGAAAGCCTTCTTCCTGCTCTTTGGTTATTGCTGCCACCTAGTGTTTCAAAATAAAATCGCAGTGGGTTTGCCTTTTCCAGATTTGCATGCACTACTGTGCAGTTTGTGGGAAATGACTATTTGAGAGCAACAGCTGTCTTTCCTGTATACTCTCAAACCATAGCCCTCTGAAGTGGTCACTTATTGTATGGATGGTATGTATTCCACTAGCAGGAAGTGGCACTAATACAGCAGGAAGGGCTTGAAGAGCCCCAATCCCTGCTACCGGACAGCGATTTTTCAAGCTTTCCCATTTCATGGTACGCATAAACTAATTGCTAAAATTCTGTGCCACACCAAAAAATATATTTTTTGCCAATCTGACAAAAATAGGTATGATTTTGATTCATTCACCCTGGACGGCTATTTTTGGGTTAACTGTTAGCACTTTTTTTTTTTTATGGACAGTCTAAGGGAAAAGAGGTCAGTGCCCCTGACTGAACAGTCAAAGTATTGCACTTTTTAAAAATTCTTGTGGCGCGCCAGTTCAAAAATCACTATTAAAGGACATTTGCCAGTGTGACATTGGCGTGTATTTCCCCTCATAAAATTGGGCTCAATATTCTGAAAGATCTGTTCCAGCTTGAACATTTTTTCTTTGTGTGTGTGTATGTGTGTGTGTGTTTTCATTGTTATGAAAGTGTAATCCTTATACATGATACTGTTCACTTATTTGGGCAGAAGTTCTCCGTGTCGGCCAGGTTTTCTTTCAGAGCTGTGTTAGATGGTGTTTTTGTGTTTTCACTGTGAGAGTAGATAGCTTTGATAGCTTTTCTTTGCTCAATTAGCAGAGGCAGACCGGAAGACTTTCTATCACTGATGCACCCTTACCCAGGATAATACGTCCTGCTTGTTGGTTATTCAGTTATTTGTGGGCTTCCTTAGCTGGACTTCGTACTTGTGGTACATGTTGCAAAGATTGAGAAGTCAACTAGACTGCTTGGAAAGTTCCCAGATTTTTTAAAAAACCCAAATCTGGGTTTTAAGAGATCGGGGTTTTTTTTTTTTCCAGTATTTTGAAATAGATCGTTAATTTTTCAATGGGCTAGAAAGGAATCTGAAGATAAAAAGTTTTCTAGATACAGGAAAGTGATTAGAGATGGAATTTGCTCTTTGTGATGGAAAATTTTTAAATATCCTGACTAATATTATAATTTGACAAAACCTTTCTTGAAGGATTCTATTATCTTAAATTGACTTTGTAAAGAATATTTTGCTTAGCCCTGGCTGGTGTGGCTCAGTGGATTGAGTGCAGACCTGTGAACCAAAGGGTTGCCAGTTCGATTCCCAGCCAGGGCACATGCCTGGGTTGTGAGCCAGGTCCCCATAGGGAGAACATGAGAGGCAACCACACACTGATGCTTCTCGCCCTTTTTCACCCTCCTTTCCCCTCTGTCTAAAAATAAATAAATAAATAAAATTTGTTAAGAAAAAGAATATTTTGTTTATATGTAGCATTTGAACAGATATTTTGGGTGTTACTGTTTCTCAGTCACGCTGTAAATCAGTTTTTCATCCTTTGTAATTCTGAAGATGGTTAAACCACAGGCAAGTGAATATAAAGCCTCACCTTCAACTACTTTTGGCTTAGTTGTTAACAGATCTTTCATAGAATTGATTCCTAGAACACCTGATGGGTAGAGAACCTATTCAATAAAATAAAAATGGATTTGGACCTGCTGTTATTAATTATGTTTAGATAGTATTTCTATTCAGATGGGCATGAGTCCTAAATACAGTTTGCTTGGCTGTTATCCTTTGCTTACCGATTCTCAGACAGGTTTCAGTGCTCTTGCTCAGGCCATCCTGACCGAACTGTGCAAGTAACATCTTGAGACTCACAGCCTCAAGTGACTGGCTTACTGCTAAATATAGAACCCTTATTGAGTTCCTTTGAGCTACTAATTTTGTTAGTCTATTGAAAGAGTTACTATTACTACTATCGAGTTTATCTGGCACTATTCCTTAGAAGCTTTAGCAGACTGATCATAATTTCATTATCTTGTTGCTACTGAAAACTTTCTTTTCTAATATTTCACAGTTTTATTAAACATCGCTATCAGATTTCTGTTTGTTATCCAATTATTACTGGTATTTTTTTCTGAACTGAACACTGGGTGAGGGCAGATGATGGCTTTGACGTAGCGGTTAAGAGCTCAGCCTCTGAAGTCAAATTTCCTGAGTGTGAATTCCTTCTCTGTGACCTTGGGTGAGTTATTTAACTGCTGTGAACTTCGGTTTCCTCACGTACTAAAAAGAGATGATGTAGCTGTTGTGATGATTAAATACAGAGAGAGAGAATCCATTTCATTATTGATTTGGTTAAAATAAACTCAAAGATACTTTATTTATATGATTCCTGCAAATATTCCTTAGTCTGGGTCTGTCTTTGTCTTTACAGAGCTGAGGAAACCATAAGATATTTGAGTTTTAACCAGTTGTATTAATCTGTTCATTCACAGCTTCTCGATTATCTGAGAACCCCAATCGTAGGTTAGTGACTGAGGAGTAGGAACTCAGGAAAACATGACTCGGACTTTCAAGGCCTTGGGGGCCAGCAGGAAGGATGGTTCACTGGAGACATTGAGTCTGACCCAGTCTCTTGCCCTCCACAGAGAAGTCTTCTCTCACTTTCCAGACTCTCCAGGCATCGCCTTCCATGACACCCTGGACTTTGTAATAAAATAATGGTTTTAATTCTTTTTGTTTAGTGCCTTACTCTGCCTGCTCAATTGTATGTTCCATGAGGCTAGAAATGGACTTTTCTTTCTGGCTTTGTTGGGTGATTTAGAAGTGAAGAAACATGCATGACTGTCATGTGTGACTTTCCCAAGTCACACGTATTCTGAAGTAGTTGTAAGTAGAATTTGGGTTTCCATTCTCCGATAGTACAGAACTCTCTGCCCTTTCTACTGTGCTATGAAAATTTAAGATCTAGAGATGGATTAAACAGTATCTACAAATAACTACTACAGAGAGAGAATAGACACACTCGAGGGGCTACAGAAATTGGAAGGGGAACGTAAGTTCTTTTGTTTGGGTGGTAGGTGCAAAAAGGCTTAGTGGCAGAGGAGGCATTGGAACTGCACTCCCGTGGGTAGATTTGGGGTAGAAAGGTGTGGGAAAGCTCACTGCAGCCATGAAGTATTTTATGTCATTGTCTGTGTAATTTTAGTGTTGGAATCTTTAATCCCGGCATTTCAGAAGAAATCTGTAAAATATATACGTGAGCGGACTAACAAATGTGTTTCATTTCAGTGAACAACGTGGGGATGTCATATGAGTATCCGGAATACTTTCTGGAAGTTCCTGACTTGGACAATGTAAGCGATTCTTTGTATATTACGGTAACAGAAGGAATGCATTCGGCTGTTGTGGGAGGGGTGTGGTCTCTCGTCGCAGACTGGGAGCCCCAGAGTCGAGCTGCCCGTGCTTCGCACCCTGGCTCTACTGCTTGCCACCTGAGTCACTCTGAGGATGATCTCACCTGTACTCAGTTTCCATTCCCTCTGCCCTGAAGTAGACTTTGTGGGGATGGTAGGAGGATTGAATGAGAAAATGTTTATGACCTCATCTGTGTAGTACCAGGATCAATAATAGCTCTGGCTTTATTCTTATTTTTATTATTTCACAACAGCCCCATTTTAACTATTAGGATTCTAAACACCAATTTAAAAATCATAAAGTTGTTAGTATATAGCAGTATACTAGTTGATTCAGGTAAACTAGCTCTACAAAAATGAAAGCTATATCCTTGATACATGCATAATTCTTTAATAAAGACTAGAAAAACATATTATGGAAGAAGGAACATGTAAAATTTTTTAAATGGTTAAAATCTAAGCTTCAGTCGTTTTCCTTTCCTGTACTAGCAGAGAAGAAATTATGAGGGTTCATATTTATTTTAGATTAAGTGTGTCTTTTGCTTTCAGATTTTACTTGCACATATACCTTGGATTTTGCACATTAGCATGAATTGCTGCTTTTGGTAGAAAAGGACTATAACACTGAGGGTATAATAATAAAATGTGTTTCTCCATCCCAATTCCTGTCATTTCCCAAGGTTTCTACTATATCTGGGGAAATTTTCAATGCATCTCTAGATCATTCATATATATTAATATGTACCATGGTCATTTCCATGATCAAATCTATATAAAAGAATCAATTTTTTTTTTTTTGCAGACCATCAAGAAACTGATAACTGTCAATATTCTTTCTGTTTGTAAGGTAGGCAGCTTCTTTATAAATATACCATCCTTTCTGGTTCTTTCTCTTTAAGAACACTGATGTAATCGGTTCGTTCATTTCAGTCAACTCTTCTTTTGATGGGAGTGCATATTCCAGATGAAAGTGGTCTCTCTCCTTATGTGTTCAGGAAGCAGGAAGAACTGAACACCCAACAGACATCTGTATAATAATATTGCTTTTAAACAAATGAGTATTTATTAAATGCCTCCATTACTTGCAAACACTGTGGTAGGACCAGGGACTATGTGAGTTAACTTAGGCCAAAGATTGCTTTTTACAAAGTTTTCATCTACATGCAAGCCATCACTCGTAAATTGTTTCAGTTTTGTATTTGCGTGATACATGCAAGTCAATGAGTTATAAATATTATGATAAAGTATTGTATGGGAAGTGTGGGACTATAAAGTAAGGAGAGTGATTTTTATTAGCCACACATAAGAGCTACTCTAGCTTCTAGTTGCTGGGCATGGGGCATCAGCTGGTACATGCTAAGAGGAAGAGTAGCTAACAAACAGGAGCCTCTGATACTACTTTTCCCTGTATTTAACATCAACTACAATAACATGTCATTCCTTGATTGTACATGCAAGGTGATACCTGGGGCGGAATTTCCGTGGGCAACATCAGACACTTCAAATTTGAACAGACTGGTGGGAATGCTAAATCCATTTTTAATACCTTGTATCATTCAAAACTATTAGAACTGACCAGATAAATAGAAATAAGAACTTAACCGTTCATTTTCATTCGCCGTCACAGTCGTGATCTTTTTCTCTTCTGTGAATGTTTAAAGAAAAATTCTCCTCGTGTCTTTATATTCTGCGAAATCCTAACCTTTGCACAGTTGATTCAAGTCCAAAGACCCTGGGATCTTACGCCTTATCAAAGGTTTTATGTGTGGCTGTGTTTCTTTCTGTGTCACACATGCGTTGCTTTTAAAGTGTTTAGTTAATTCGTTATTATATGGTTTTGTTCAATATGGTCGACTGAGGTCAGCCAGCTCTGCCGCAGGAAAGCTACACCCTTAGTGTCTGCGTACACGTAGCGCTGGTAGCTTGCTGTTTAAAGGCACATCAAACAGATTGTATTTTGATAGGACAAATGGTAAGTTCATGAAACAAACCATCTCTGTCTTTTCCATTGTTACTAACCAAGGGCTTTTCTCATGTAGGATTCAGTCTCAGTGAGGCACACTACTGACAGGTAGACCTGTAGTGAGTAGATTTGCAGCAAGAAAAAAAGCACAAAATTGGTGCTTTTAAAACATGGGTAGTATGAATATATCTACAGAGTTTTTAAGGTATTTCCCTGGGCATATTTATATACATAATCATCCTTCAATAATCCGTACGAAGTTTCAAGTCAATTAAATAACTCCCCCATTTGCTAGTTATATGGCCTCGAGCAGATTACTGACTCTGTGCTGCAGCCTATAAATGAGGACGATAATTCTTTTTACCTCACAGAGCTGTTTTGGAAATCAAACAGGGTAATGTGTGTAAACTTACTGGAATAGTGCCCAAATCCTAGTAAGGGCTCTAGAAAAATGTTACTATTATTTAGCCAACCTAAGAGCTGATAAAGACTTTTAGTAAATATGTGCAACTATACCTTTATTTTTAACAAAGATTTTTGTGGAGAATTATTATTTCTAGTCTACAATTTTTGTTTTGTGGTTTTACCTTTTGAAATGACTGGGGCATACTATTGTTTTCATCATCTTTTCTAGTACACTTGGCCAAGTGCTTAAAAATACGAGTCTTAAAATTATGTACATATGTGTTTTATAATAATTGTAATGAGTTAATGATGGAAAAATGTGTTCAGGTGTTTAAATTTTATTTTATAGAGCTAATACCAGCTACAAATTAGTCTAATTAGTCTCCTGATAATTTTACTTCCGCTGTCAAATAAACCGTATAAAGTTTAACACTAGACATGTTAGCATTTCTCCTGCTCGTCAGAACCTAACTGGCCTCCTCTGTCACCCAGAGTGGGCATTCTTGGTTGGCAGTACACAGAATACTAATGGTAAAAGGCCAAGGTCCTGATCTTGACCTGTGAGAACCAGTCGGCCGCTGTGCTCCATGTCCACGCACTGCGTCTTGCAAGCAGCACCTGAGCGCAGATCAGGGTGTGGTGGTCACCTGGCGTCCCTGTGTGAAGATGAGTAGCGTAGGGGGCAGAAGTGGAAAGAGCCGCTCAGAGTGAACAGCACTGTAGAGTACCTTTCAGTCGGTTCAATATAATGATGAAATAAAAATGAGCCATTGGTCCTAATATCTTGACAGATTGTAGAGTGTTTTTCCCAACTCTTCATTCTTCCTCTTCTACTTTGCCTGTTTACATCGGCATAGATGCCTGTCCCATGAGATGAGTTAGAGCAGACAAATGCTAAACTATTAAACATGTATCATGTTGTAAACCAGATTGATGGGAAGTATCATGAGTAGAATCAGATATATGCTTAAAATTTTTGTGTGTAAACTTTTTTTTTGGTAAATCTCACAGATCACTCAGGGAGTTTGCTATTTAAAGCACTCCTTCTCAGGCCAAATAATCATTCTCTATCTTTAGTACAAATATGAATATTCCTGTACCTTTGTGATAGACTCTTTATTGGAAAATCAATTTAAATCTCTTGATTTAGTCATCGTGGAGTTGATAACATCTAGAGGACAGCCGACTTTTATGGGATTATAGGCAAGCTTGGTGTGGGCACCATCTGTGTAGCCATAGGTAGTTCGGGTACAGAATGGTCGGACTCACGGCGGGAGGCGAGGGGTGCGCAGTGGTGAACCTGACGGCCAGAGAAGGAAGTTAAGGCAGGCTGGGCAGGAACCTGGGCAGTGTGCTCAGGAGGATGGAGAGCCGCACACAGGCAGCTTTAAGGTGGAAATAGGGTGTGATCTGACCCCCAGTTTGGAAAGGCAGGTCTGGTGGCAGAGGGACTTGGCGATACGTGTGTTACGTGTGTGTCTTATTTGTACTGAGAAAGGGGTGTTCACCTCGATGAAGCTTTGTGAGGGGAGCCCCCAGGTTTCGTGCTCTTCCATGCTGCTGGCATTTGCCCTGCCGTGATGGATTGCACCTGCTCTCCTTTTGTTGACCTTGTTATGCTGCCAGTGCCAGGGCTACATCTCCAGTAGCAATGGTTCTTTGGGGCCCTGGGGCAACTTAAAAGAAGATGAAAATTGGTCTGGCTCTGGAATCTTATAGGATTTCCTGGTGTCTGGACATCAGGGGAACTAGGACGTGGGTGTCTGCAGCCTAAAGGCAGATCAATGCATCAAGAGGGTTTATATAAGCAAGAGAACACCTCTTCTCACCATCTATGTTAGTTAAGGTATTACCTCCTTACCAAACTTCAGTAGGGGTTGGCTGGTTGCAAAGTATGCCAGGGATTTGGAGATGTTTGCTGGGAGGGCCCCAGCATCTTTTAAGTCCTGGGCTGTGCCACAAGTGCTGAACCGCCTGCTTTACATTCCTTCAGGGCCGGGATTACTGCTCGGTCCGGTCCGTGAGCATCTGTCCTCTGTCGGTGGGTCAGATGGTTGTGAATATCACGTAACTTTCATAGTCCAATAGAAGAATAAGGAAAGTGAAATATCCTAACCAGAGGGATGACAGGTCGTCACCAGACAAAGTGGTGGTGAAAGGGGCAGAAGAACACTGGGGGAGGAATGTTAACCAAATGTTTTTGCCTATAGATACCCGGTGTTTAATCAGATTCCGGTGTAGCTCCCTCTCCCAGGCCACTGAGCTCTCCGGTTCCATCTGATTGTTTCACTTTTCATGCTGTCCAGTCATTTAGGTTTATTCCTTTTTTCCTTCTTAATGACTCACTTGACTAGGCTTTCCCTTTACCAGCCATGACAGTGTGAGCTGAGGAACCTCAGGGGCGTTTACAGGCCTTGTTGCCTGCTTTTCCAGTTTTGCTTTCAAATCTTTCAGGGTTTAGTCTTGTTTTTGTTCCCTGCAGAGCAGGTAAATGCCAAGGTGAGAAGAGCAGTGGTGTGGAAATTCTATATAGGTGACCAGTGTTGTTACCAAAGAGAAAAGTGGGATTCACTGCCCGCCACCTCCCATAGGCAAATTCCAGAGGCAGAAGTTTGGTGAAGAAGGAAAGGGGTCTGTTATTCAAAAGCTCCACAGTTTGGGAGAATGGCAAGCCTTAGAGCCCATCCCCTCCAGAATACCCAGAGAATCCCCTCCACCCTCTGCCAGGTTAGCCAAGGCTACACCTGGGGGTTCCTTCTCCCATTTAAACATACAGTCTTCTGGGAACCCCAGGTTCCACTTACAGTCTGGCTTCAGGCTTCTCCCTGGAGTCTGCGCATGCCACCTGCCCACCACACCGCCACCGCCACTTCTCGCAGCGGGGCCTGGGGCCATTGACAGCCTCTGCTGCCAGCCGTCCATGGGGCCGCTGTGCCAGCCATAAGGCCCTGCACCTGGTCACGTGGCTTCCAGGGCCCACCAGTCCCGCGGGGGCTTCAGCCCGCATGTCCATGCCATGGGTCCCAGAGGAAGAAGCGTGGTCACTCTGGGGTCTGGCCGGGCGGTCTGGCCAGGTCTGCCTGTCTCCGTATGGCAGGTCCACTGGCCTTAACCTGGAGGAGAGCCAACCAGCTGGGGTGTTTCCTTGTGGTCTCAGATGCCCGTGACTGTCTTTGTCTAAGATAATGACCTTCAGAGCAGAAACTGTGGAGTTTAGAGATAATTAAACCTCCGGAGAAGAGCCGCACTCTTCTAAAATAGTTCTGGTTTCATAACTGGAGGGTTTTGGGCCTCAAAATACCGAGAGAATTTGCAAATGAAATTGTCGTACTGTTACCGACTATTAGAGAAACCGTGGGAAAGGCAGATGTGCCGCTACTCCAGAGGCAGGTAAGCACAAGTCCAGTTGCACCAGGTAGTACACTGAGCTTCACACCAGTCCACAGACGAGTTCTGAAGCAGCTCTTGTTTTCTCTGTT